TAAAGGTATTTTCTTGTTTATTAAGATCGTAGGAATGTTTTTAAAACGTTTAAATGAAAAGTCCAGAAAGTTCAGAAATACCTAAACTATAAACACGAAATGACAGGTTAAATCGTAGTTATAATAGTCAATCAGCTGCTCATAGTATTATTATCTTTAAGTGTTGCCAACCTATTTCCAAGCGTACACGGATTACGTGCATAATAGAACCACGCTGTTTTGTGTTGTTTCGTTGGAATCCTGATGTGCGGCAAAGTATAAACCGTGCGGCAAAGTATAAACCGTACGGCAAAGTATAAATATGCAGCAATTAGCAGCTTTCTGTACTATAAACAGTACAAGGAAGCCAACTTTGTCGGGTGACTGTAGGAAAAAATGCTTTATTGCAGTTATAATAGTGCTTTGCGATTGCAATGGGAGAGGACACGGTTTCAGAAAATTTAGTTCTTTTAATAAAAAAAGTAAATTATCGAACATTCGCATAATATATTAAAAATATATTTATAAATTAAAAACATAAATTTAACTGTAAACACTCCTACTTTGACCGTCCTCATTATGCATCACAGCTTTTTGTTGCTGCTAGTTTCAAATTAGCTGTGGTTGTCATAAATGAAATAAACGGTATCAGCATTCTGACACATACTTTCTCCCATAAGTTTGTCAACAACCTTTATCATGTGTAAGCGGTGAGAGTAAATATACGGAAATGGGATAAGTAAAATTTTTTTCAGAATTTGAAGGACTACATACAAAATTTTTATCAAAATTGTTCGGGCCATTTTTGTGAAAATCTTATTTTTCCGTTTTTTATGGGGTTTTTATGGGAAAATAACATAATTTACAATAACTTTTGAACCATAATGTTTACGGAAATGGGATTTGTACCATTTTGTTCAGAGTATAAAGGACTATAACATACAAAATTTTTATCAAAATAGTTCGGGCCGTTTTTGGGAAAATCCTATTTTTCCGTTATTTTATGGGGTTTTATAATAAAATTCCCATTAAAAATAAAATTTAAAAAAAATGAAAAAACTATAAAAACTTTAAGGACCATAACATACTATGTTAAAATAAGACAGTATTTTTCTAAAACCCCATTTTTCGTTATTTTATGGGGTTTTTATTATGGGAAAATAACATAATTTACCATAACTTTTGAACCGTAATTTTTACAGAAATGGGATTTGTACCATTTTGTTCAGAATTTAAAGGGCTACAACATACTAAATCTTTATCAAAATCGTTAGGGCCATTTTTGAGAAAATCCGATTTTTCCGGTTTTTTATGGGTTTTTATGGGAAAATCCCCATTAAAAATCAAAATTTCAAAAAAATGAAAAAAACACCTGGAGATATAATGGATTAAAACCTACATACCAAATTTCATCGAAATCGGACCACAGGTGTAGTCTCTAGCTCTGTACACATCCAGACACACAGACACACACACGCACACACACACACACACACACACAAACATCACTTCAAAAACCACTTTTTTGGGTCCAGGGGGACCCAAAACGAATATATCCACTCAAACTCGAACATTTTGACGAAAACAATACTTTCTCCATATACTATGGTATAGGGGGAGAAAGTAAAAAACTAATATTGCTGCACCCTGATGGTAAACCTTTATAACTATTTAATGATATTGAATATCATAGAACCAACTTGTATAGTTGAAACAGCTGACAAAATGCTATAATTCATTTTAAATGTGAATACTCATAAGGTTAACATGGGAAACCCCAGAGCCACTGGTGCGGAGCCCGAAAGGATTTTTGAGATAAGAATATGTCTATATGGTAATCGGGAATGTGAGCAATCATCATACTAAATTTCAGCCAAATCAGACCAATAGTTAATGCGTGATTGAACTTCAAACAAACAAACACACACAAACTTTCACATTTATAATATTAGTAGGCCTATGATATAATATGTGTTTTCTGTTCATTTACGAATTCCTAATAATAGGAACAGTAGTAAAATATATATTTTATATTTCTTTATCACTTTTTATAATAATATTTATCAGGCTAAATACAATACAAATTGAATATGTTTACAAAAAACCGTATTTATTCCGTTATAATTTTGGGGTTGGGCAAAGACCTCGAAATTAGTGCGGGCCACCGTGAGTCGAGTGGGTTGTGGGAAGGGGTGGGTGCAACCTTGATGCAATACAGTATTTAGACTTGCACTTGCACCACTTCCCTAAAGGGCTGGGGAAGGGGATTCCAAACACAAAACAATGATACAAATTCAATAAAAGGTTAAATTACCTGTGTCCACCGGTCGATCCTAATAAAGCTGTATCCTATTACAGGAGATGCATTTCGGCAGAATAAATTGCCATCATCAGTCCTATTATAAGTTCTTGATCTTCCCCGTTGGGTGTGTCTTAAAGTTTTGAAACACGTACACGAACTTTATACTTAAATACATCACGAATAAAACATACAAATACACGGTAGGCCTACTTTTATTTGAGTTATTACGGACATGTAGACGCGCGTCGGTCGTGTGTCGTTGTCGAGACTCGCGTCTAGCGAGCTGGCGTAGTGGCTAGAGCGCGGGAATTCAGTCCGTGAGGTCCCGGGTTCGATCCCCGCCAAGTCACCAATGGATTTTATCTAAGTGTCGATGCCGCAACCCCTAGGTCTAGCCTGAAGTTATGTGAAAAACATTCCCAGGCTCGTGCCTAGCATCCTAGGAAAAAAAGCCCCCTAGAAAAACGGCCATGCTGCAGGATCCATGACGTCACACTAGTGGATGGATTTCATTGATAAATTCATTGCCATCACCATTCCCATATGTTTTAGGTAAATAAACAAGCTGGCTGGCTGTTTGTAAGATTTTAATGGTAAGAGTTTAGTACGACTATCCACCACTGTGACGTAGTGTTGCGCTGCCCGTGCTGCAGCATGGCCTGTTTTTTTCTAGTGGGGCCTTGGAATAGCACACCTATGTATTTCCCTAACGGCCGCCTTTAACCGTGCTTTAACCCCAGGCCGCGGCCTTCGAAGTGGCAACGTCGCAAGTGGTGTTGTAACAGCTGTTTAGTTTGGCAGCAGCTAGGGTACTTGTGTATTTAAGTAAGCTTGGTTACTGGACTATGACAATATTGACTCCACTTTAAAAGTACAAAAATTGATTTTCTATTTAAATATTAATCAGGAATCAGGAAAAATGATGGAAATTGGGCCAAAACTAACATGGAGAAAGCAAGTATATTCTCAAATTACTTTTCAGATGTATTCAAACCCTTACTTCCAAATCCACCAAACGACGAGAGTGATATTTTTGAATATTTGGATTCACCTAATCAATTATCTTTGCCTATATCCCCGTCTTTGCCCTGTACACCGTCCGAAGTTCTAAAAGTAATACAAAAGGAAATAGACCCAAAAAAGTCCTGGATACGATTTAATCACTGGCAGGATTCTGAAAGAATTGCCACGGAAAGGAATATTATTGCTGACCTTCATATTTAACGCTATATTACGGCTAGAATATTTTCCAGTTAAATTGAAGATAGCTCAACTTGTGGTAATTCCAAAACCAGGCAAACCACCAAATGAGGTCTCGTCCTACAGCCTATAAGTTTGCTTCCGGTTGTATCCAAATTATTTGAAAAACTAATCCTAAGAAGATTGAACCCAATTATAGAATACTTAAATTTGATTCCTGAGCATCAGTTTGGCTTTCGGAAAGGACACTCTACAGTTGAACAAACCCACAGACTAGTAGACATAATTAAAAATTCATTTGAAACAAAAAAGTACTGTTCTGCTGCATTTCTGGATGTACAACAGGCATTCGATAAAGTGTGGCACACTGGACTTCTTTATAAACTTAAATCCTTGTTCCCCCATTATTTTTACAGTTTGTTAAAATCTTACTTAAATGAACGATTCTTCCAGATTAAATTTCACGAAATTTTATCCGACTTGAAGCCTATTCAATCTTGAGTACCCCAAGGCAGTGTTCTTGGACCTGTTTTATATTTACTATATACCTCCGACATCCCCGTGGGCCAAAATATTACGGTTGCTACGTTTGCGGATGATACTGCATTTCTCTCCATTCACGAAAATCCTCAAGATGCTTCAAATCAATTGCAAGTTACATTAAATGATTTCGAACTGTGGCTAAAAAAATGGAGAACTAAAGTTAATGAAACAAAATCTGTACATATTACATTCACGCTGAGACAAGAAAACTGCCCTCCAGTTACTTTGGACAACAGCGTTGACAAGAATTAGCAAGAAATAGCCTATCAAGAAAAACTCGAAACCCACCAGAACAATTTAGCCGTTAACTTGCTGGACAATAGTGAATTTCCCAACAGACTAAAAATTGTGAAAGTTCTTGAACTTCCATACCGATTTGCATAGTTTTAGTTACATGATATGACTATTTATTTTCCAAGATCTTTCACTGGGGAGATTCTTGGTCAAGTCATTTACTTATATTATGCCTTTTACTAATTGTTCACAGTTGTACTAAACAGATTGTAAAAAAAAATAAAGTAAAAAAAAATTTAATATGGTTTTTGTTTTCAATTCTATATGTTTTATTTTCAATAAATTTATGTTCTTAATTTTAATTTAAATGAATAATACGTGAAATATGAGCTGGTGTCACCTGTCTACCATGTTATCTTATGGGAGGTCTGGTGCTAGACAACACCAAACACCACTCGCGACGTTGCCAATTCTACAGGCCGCGGCCTGATTTTCCTTCCACCATGTCTATGAATAGTAGTGTATTAGAGGTGGCTGTGATAGCAGCCATAGCATAGGCACTTCCTTTCCACTTCTCACTCTCACTCCTCGTCCTCCCTAAGTTTAAGTTCAGTTCAGTTTCAGTTCCTCTCCTCCACTTAGTGCACTCAACTTCCAGCCTGACTGTCTATTTATTTGGCCTTTTTTTTGGCCCATTTTATCCACAACGACCACAACACTAACACGAACACAAAAACAACAACAGCAACCAGCAACAGCCATAAGTCACAAGTCGAAATGTTATGTTTCGTTATCAGTTTTTTAAAACTTTAGCTAGCACTAGTATTTGTTATTCTGCTAATTAACCAAACAAATTTTCCAAAGATTTTTTTGTGACAACACGATTAAGACCTGTAAAAGTGCAATAATTAAGTTGGGTACTGTAGCCTACTGTGTACACACAGTGAACCAAGTTATTGATAATGGAGGAAGAATTAGGAGGTCCTATGTTGTCAACTCGTCATTTCATGGATGTTTCCTGTAATATGTCAGATTTATCCGTCGGTGCAAGTTCCATATCGAGGGGTGAAATAGAGACCACAACTGATGCTAATGATGTTTTGCAAAATGGAATAATTATTGAAACGAGCAAAGGGTTAGTTGTCAGTTATTTACTAGGCCTAGGCCTAACTTTAATTTTTAATTTGGTGTAGGCCTAGCTAGGTCTTGATCTAGCTGCACTTTAGTTTAGGCCTACGTCCTACTCTCATTTGCTGTTTTTGTATGTCTTACACTTGAATTGATTCAGCCCATGAATGTATTTTTGTTTTCTTTTACATAGAGGATACGCGTCCGGTAACCGGACGTGGATAAGGCGTACGGCAATGACGTCATGGGGTTGCGGGAGCCTGGAACGCCTTTACCACAACAATACAATGACGAGCCATCGGTGTTCGTGGTGTGGTGGATAAGGTGCTCGGCTGATATGCAAGAGGTCCAGGGTTCGAATCCCATTGATGACTTTAACTTTTTGTCGAAGAGTTTGCATTGAATACCATTTATTCTTAACTGTACATCTTTTATTAGAATTTTTGGCATTTATAATTTTTTTTATAGAGAAAGAATTTCACCTTAATTCGATTTTTTCACTATCAGCAAGTTTGGTTGGTTAGGTTAGGTTATGACAGTAATTGCCGGACGTCTAATCCACGTCCGGTTACCGGACGCGTATCCTCTGCCTTTCTTTTATACTGGTTATGTCTTTCGCATGGGGTACAGTTTTTTAACTGGGCTACACTAATATTGATTGAAACTATCGAATTGAAAATATTGATTAATAATCGATATTTTAAAATATATCTATTACCTATAAAATTTAACTAAGTATCATAACCTAACTTAACCAACCAAACTTGCTGATTGTGAAAAAATTGCATGAAGGTTTACTAATCAAATCGATAGTTTCATTCAATAAGCCCAGTTAAGAAACTGTACTATTTGCATGTCATGTCTGCAAGATGGATTTTAGATGGATTTTATCTAAATGATATGTCGCAAACCCTAGGTCTAGCCTGAAGTAATGTGAAAAAAATTATCCCAGACTTGTGCCTAGCGTCCTAGGCCAGGGGGAAAAACAATCTAGTCTATTATTCTTTGTGTTTCAAGAGTCTTCATCACCCTAGGTGTAGTTTCGTTTTGGGGGGAAGGTGGTGTGACAGGCGGGTAGCGCGGGGTCATTATGCATGCCTTTCTGAAAACATTGTGTAAACAAACTACTAAGTTACTATATTTTATTCATATTAGGTCTATAATGATTTATAAAATTGTCATTTAGGAATTACATAATAAAATAGTGCTGTTCTAACATAACCAACCCTGCTCTAGAACGTTAGCAAACTCATTTTGATGTCAGAAAAGTCATGTCAAGGTGGTTGGTCGAGCCTCATGTGAATTTGTGACTGCATTAAGTCCTTTGAAAGGTCTGTGAAGTTAGCGTACCCATATTAGCTTATAAACTTTTGTTCATACTAATCGTTAGTTCCCTAGCCTATAGGCCTAGTTACCCAATATTTTCTTTAGTTGTCAAAAAATAAAAAAGATCTTAGCTGATAATAACGGTTACGCTAACTTCACACTTTGGGTTTTTAGCGTGCACCGTTTTCAGATGAAAAAAAGCTTACATCTATATGCCAAATGTTAGTTTTTCGTTAGTTCTCAATAGTTACGCCAACTTCACAGCTTCACAGCCAATTTCCAGCAGGCACCATTTTCTGATGGAAAAATACCTACAGTACATCTGTATCCTATAACAAACTTTAGTTCTTGTTATTTCTCCAATATTGTTGTTAAGCCTAGATCTAAAAAATAAAAAAAGTTACAAGGCATAACAAGTGGTTACGTTTTAATTAAAAACTTTCAACTTACAAATGTTGAAAAACTTGAGACCAGCGTATCTTGCTTCTTGATCTGTGCATCTTTTGAGTTTTTCAACATTTGTAAGCTAGCCTAGTTTGTATTTATTGGCAAATAGCCTATTAATAATAAAAATAATTAGCCTATCTATAATATTAAAACTTGACAGGGTTTTTTTATTTCACGATTCTAAATCAACCACTCGACGAATTTTATTGGAGTTAACCTGGCAATAACTCCAGCAATAAGTAGTGCGCGCGCCCGATAACATCTATTGCTGGCCGTTTTACGGAAAAATACAGCCGCGAAGGTGATAACCGAGAGTGTCAACAGATAGAGGACACCTTTACGGACAAGACAGTATCAATATCATGTACCGGGGGAGTAAGTTAGGGGGGGGGGGGTTAAAGTCGGCTAAAAGTAGTGCTCGCGCCCGAAAAAATCTATTACTGGCCATTTTACGGAAAAATACGGCCGCGAAGGTGATAACCGAGATAGTAACCAGATAGAGGACACCTTTACGGACACGACAGTATCAATATCATGTACCGGGAGAGTAAGTTAGGGGGGGTAAAGTCGGCTAAAGGTAGTGCTCGCACCCGATAAAATCTATTACTGGCCATTTTACGGAAAAATACGGCCGCGAAGGTGATAACCGAGATAGTAACCAGATAGAGGACACCTTTACGGACACGACAGTATCAATATCATGTACCATGGGAGTAAGTTAGGGGGGGTCAAGTCGGCTAAAAGTAGTGCTCGCGCCCGAAAAAATCTATTTCTAGACGTTTTACGGGAAAATACGGCCGCGAAGGTGATAACCGATAGTGTCAAAAGATAGAGGACACCTTTACGGACAAGACAGTATCAATATCATGTACTGGGGGAGTAAGTTAGGGGGGGTAAAGTCGGCTAAAAGTAGTGCTCGCGCCGGTTACTCCTACTAGTTGCCTAACTTACTCCCCCGGTACATGATATTGATACTGTCGTGTCCGAAAAGGTGTCCTCTATCTGGTTACTACCTCGGTTATCACCTTCGCGGCCTCATTTTTCCGTAAAACGGCCAGCAATAGATTTTATCGGGCGTAAGCACTACTTTTAGCCGACTTTACCCCCCCCCCCTAACTTACCCCCCCGGTACATGATATTGATACTGTCGTGTCCGTAAAGGTGTTCTCTATCTGGTTACACTCTCGGTTATCACCTTCGCGGCCGTATTTTTCCGTAAAACGATCGGCAATAGATTTTATCGGGCGTGAGCACTACTTTTAGCCGACTTTACCCCCCCAAACTTACTCCCCCGGTACATGAAATTGATACTGTCTTGTCCGTAAAGGTGTCCTCTATCTGTTGACACTCTCGGTTATCACCTTCGCGGCCGTATTTTTCCGTAAAACGTCTAGTAATAGATTTTATCGGGCGCGAGCACTACTTTTAGCCGACTTTACCCCCCCCTAACTTACCCCCCCATTACATGATATTGATACTGTCGTGCCCGTAAAGGTGTCCTCTATCTGGTTACACTCTCGGTTATCACCTTCGCGGCCGTATTTTTCCGTAAAACGACCAGCAATAGATTTTATCGGGCATGAGCACTACTTTTTGCCGACTTTACCCCCCCCCTATCTTACTCCCCCGATACATGATATTGATACTGTCTTGTCCGTAAAGGTGTCCTCTATCTGTTGACACTCTGGGTTATCACCTTCGCGGCCGTATTTTTCCGTAAAACGTCTAGCAATAGATTTTATCGGGCGCGAGCACTACTTTTAGCCGACTTTACCCCCCCCCCCCTAACTTACCCTTCCGGTACATGATATTGATACTGTCGTGTCCGTAAAGGTGTCCTCTATCTGGTTACTATCTCGGTTATCACCTTCGCGGCCGTATTTTTCCGTAAAACGTCTAGCAATAGATTTTATGGGGCGCGAGCACTACTTTTAGCCGACTTAACCCCCCCCCCCCTAACTTACCCCCCCGGTACATGATATTGATACTGTCGTGTCCGTAAAGGTGTCCTCTATCTGGTTACTATCTCGGTTATCACCTTCGCGGCCGTATTTTTCCGTAAAACGTCTAGCAATAGATTTTTTCGGGCGCGAGCACTACTTTTAGCCAACTTTACCCCCCCCCTAACTTACTCCCCCGGTACATGATATTGATACTGTCTTGTCCGTAAAGGTGTCCTCTATCTGTTGACACTCTCGGTTATCACCTTCGCGGCCGTATTTTTCCGTAAAACGTCTAGCAATAGATTTTTTCGGGCGCGAGCACTACTTTTAGCCGACTTTACCCCCCTTTACTTACTCCCCCGGTACATGATATTGATACTGTCTTGTCCGTAAAGGTGGCCTCTATCTGTTGACACTCTCGGTAATAACCTTCGTGGCCGCATTTTCCCGTAAAACGTCTAGCAATAGATTTTTTCGGGCGCGAGCACTTTTAGCCGACTTTACCCCCCTAACTTACCCCCCCCGGTACATGATATTGATACTGTCGTGTCCGTTAAGGTTTCCTCTATCTGGTTACCCTCTCGGTAATAACCTTCGCGGCTGTATTTTTCCGTAAAACGGCCAGCAATAGATTTTATCGGGCGCGCTCACTACTTATTGCTGGAGTTATTGCCAGGTTCACACAAGTACGGATTTTCATGATTTTTGTGTTAAAAGAAAGATAATTTTTAGAACTAGAGAATGTCGAATCCATAATTTTAGTTTAGGGTCCCATTTTTTTATGAATTAGCCTAAGTTTTAATTTTTTAAAGTCTAGCAGCCGACGTAAACATTCTAGACTAGCTTTTGCTATTAACCATTTGCTTAACGTAACAGCTGTAAACATTCAGCGTTCGCAACACAAATTCAGCATTTGGATAAAAATAAAATGACATACGTAGGGTTGACTTATTTATACTATGTGTAACGCTATAATCATTGATACGTTTATTTATTCGGTAAGACGATGACACTTTATTTAAACATACATAGTAAAATACTAGATGATCTAATTTATTTTTTTAACAGTCTTTAAAATCTTTAGTTTGTTTTAGTGCAATATAATTTTTTTAAACTAACAGCTGGTTGAACATAAAAATATTCCATATTCTATAGAACTATGAGGTTAGTTTATTTACTCTGTGATTTTGTCATTGATTATAGGAAATAAGTAAGATTCTATTTTAACCATGGCTGTATATGAATGGAAGCTCAGGAGCTTTAAAAAAAAAGCTTATGAAAATTTTTCTTACTAAAATTTTGAGGAAAGGTTAGGAAATAACAATGATCACATGTTTTAATTCATCTTGGCAGATTTTTCTTTACAATAAATTTTGAGCTGCTAAAACTATGCTTGAATTAGGAATATAAATATTGATATAACTATATACAGTTTTAATGGACTACTCGATTCCCGTACGTAGGACAGGCTCAACAGCTCGTTCTAGTTAAATTAAAACAGATCTGTGAAATATAAATTAAATTGAATTTTACAGGCTTGAGTGGCTGTCATTAACGGATGCCCTGACTTCAGGAGTCGGTGGTTTGAACTTATCAGTTGAAGATTTCCACAACGTAGCTGCACAGTTACTGCATTCCCGAACAACAGCTGTTAGGAAAAATGTTCCAAGCTCAACACTGAATTTATCCAATTTGGAGAAGAATGTGTTAATGTCTGCAGATAACCTTAAATCTATTCAGTGTTTTAGTCGAATTAACAGTGTGAGTATTCAAATCCAATATTCAGACAAAGCTAAGTAGAAGGAAGCATAATTCTTATGACTTCTATTGTGCTAGACAGGGTGTCTAATAGTCGGGAAAATCGGGAAAGTCGGGAATTAGTATTGAATATCAAAATGGTCTTGAATAGTCGGGATTTACTCTTAAATTTGATTTCAAAGTCTGGAATTTTCATGATTTTGCCGCGATCGTCGTCTTGCGTTTACGAAACCGCGAAAGCCAATGATGATGATATCTACACGGCCTCGGGAAATGCTCACGATTTTGCCACGATAGTGGACGACGACGATGACGTTTCCGAAACCACGAGAGACGACGATGACGTTTCTGTGACGACGGGAGATGACGATGACGTTTCCATGACCGCGGGAGACGACGATGATATCTGCTCGGCCGCAAGAAATGTTCATGATTTTGTCGAGATCGCGGACGACGACGATAACGTTTCCGTGACCGCGGGAGATGACGGTGATGTCCAAACAGCTGCGGGAAATGTTCATGATTTTGTAGCGGTGGCGGACGACGACGATGACGTTTCCGTGACCGTGGGAGATGACGATGACGTTTCCGTGACCGCGGGAGACGACGATGATGTCTACACGGCTGTGGGAAATGTTTATGATTTTGTCATGATCGCGGATGACGATGATGATTTTTCCGTGACCGCGGGAGACGACGATGATATCTGCTCGGCCGCGGAAAATGTCCATGATTTTGTCGCGATCGCGGGAGATGACGATGACGTTTCCGTGACCGTGGGAGACGACTATGACGTTTCCGTGACCGCGGGAGATGACGCTGATATTCGCTCGGCCACGCGAAATGTTCATGATTTTGTCGCGATCGTTGACGACAACGATGACGTTTCCGTAACCGCGGGAGATGACGATGACGTTTCCGTGACCGTGGGCGATGACGATGACGTTTCCGTGACGGCGGGAGACGACGATGATGTCTACACGGCCGCGAGAAATGTTCATGATTTCGCCGTGATTGCGGACGTCGACGATAACGTTTCCGTGGCCGCGGGAGATGACGGTAATGTCTAAACAGCCGCGGGAAATGTTCATGATTTTGCCGCGATCGCGGACGATGACGATGACGTTTCTGAGACCGCGGGAGACGACGATAATGTCACTGATGTCTACAAGGCCGCGGGAAATGTTCATGATTTTGCCATGATCGCGGACGACGATGATCACGTTTCTGTAACTGCTGCAGTCAATGATGATGTCTAAACGTACGTTACGCGGAAGATTTCATGATAAAAAAACCAAATTTGCTAGTTAGAATTTTTTATTGCTGCATTATTTTCTTTACTTGAAAACACCACATTATCATAATACTACTTTATGACAGTTGGTGTAGTATTATTTAGAAATTTTGGTTAAGCTATAAAAATTGGTATCGGTATCAAGAATCGAGAATCGATACATCAACACCCACTAATTGTTGAAAAAACTAGTCTTGAAAAATCTGGAATTAGTCTTGAAAAGTCTGGAATTAGTCTTGAATTTTATAATGGAAATAAACTAGACACCCTGGCTAGATCAAAATTAATCTTCTTTTGACTAGATGCGCAATGATAGGTTACATAACATTTCGATAGCTAATACAATGTTGGTACATTATAAGCTTTCCTTTATAAATTTATTGCTGGTTTATTACGTTGTTTTAAATATTATCAAATAATACCAAAATGTTTAGTCTTTAAAGTTGAAGTAGCCAGTAAAAACTGTATGAAAAGATCATAAATATGCCAATTTTTTTAAATAAAAAAAATTGTAGGCTAGGCTAGGCCTTCAGTAATCTCTAGGTACCACTATTTATTCCAATCAATTGTTCTAGAACTATAACAATGTTTAATTTATTGGGTTACTATTTACTCTTTTGTCACATTCTAATTTAGCTAAATTATGATATAAGTTAAACAGTGATGGATGTTTAATAGTAATCAATGCATTGGTTAGCTATTATGACGAGGAATTTAATATTTTGTTTTAGAAATTGGAAAGTATCTCTGAAGCTGGGGAAAATTTAGAGGAAGCAAAAGTAGAAGTTTTCAAACCTGCATCAATTTCTAAAGGATTGAATGTTTTACCAAATGATAAAAACTTGCTTAAAAAGAAGATAAAAATATTGTCATCATCAGACTCGTCTCTTACAGTTTCTGAAAGTACCGGCACCAACAGTGACTCATCTGTACATTCAGCTCCACCTATCCAACAGGTGAGCGTTTTTCTAAAATTAATAATGTCATCATCAGACTCGTCTCTTACAGTTTCTGAAAGTACCGGGACCAACAGTGACTCATCTGTACATTCAGCTCCACCTATCCAACAGGTGAGTGTTTTTCTAAAATTAATAGTCTATTGTCATCATCAGACTCGTCTCTCACAGTTTCTGAAAGTACTGACACGAACAGTGACTCATCTGTACATTCAGCTCCACCTATCCAACAGGTGAATGTTTTATGAAATATTATCATCATCATACTTGTCTCTCGGTTTTTCTGAAAGTACCCGCATCAACAGTGACTCATCTGTACATTCAGCTCCACCTATCCAACAGGTGAATGTTTTTCTAAAATTAATAATGTCATCATCAGACTTGTATCTCACTGTTTCTGAAAGTACCGGCACCAACAGTGACTCATCTGTACATTCAGCTCCACCTATCCAACAGGTGAATGTTTTTCTAAAATTAATAATGTCATCATCAGACTTGTATCTCACTGTTTCTGAAAGTACCGGGACCAACAGTGACTCATCTGTACATTCAGCTCCACCTATCAAACAGGTGAGTGTTTTTCTAAAATTAATAGTCTATTGTCATCATCAGCCTCGTCTCTCACAGTTTCTGAAAGTACTGACACAAACAGTGACTCATCTGTACATTCAGCTCCACCTATCCAACAGGTAAATGTTTTATGAAATATTGTCATCATCATACTTGTCTCTCGATTTTTCTGAAAGTACCCGCATCAACAGTGACTCATCTGTACATTCAGCTCCACCTATCCAACAGGTGAGTGTTTTTCTAAAATTAATAGTCTATTGTCATCATCAGACTTGTCTCTCACTGTTTCTGAAAGTACTGGGACCAACAGTGACTCATCTGTACATTCAGCTCCTCCTATCCAACAGGTGAATATTTTATGAAATATTATCATCATCATCAGACTCGTCTTTTACAGTTTCTGAAAGTACCCGCACCAACAGTGACTCATCTGTACATTCAGCTCCACCTATCCAACAGGTGAGTGTTTTTCTAAAATTAATAGTCTATTGTCATCATCAGACTTGTCTCTCACTGTTTCTGAAAGTACCGGCACCAACAGTGACTCATCTGTACATTCAGCTCCACCAGACATTTCTCTCACTGTTTTTGAAAGTACTGACACAAACAGTGACTCATCTGCACATTCAGCTCCTCCTATCCAACAGGTGAATATTTTATGAAATATTATCATCATCAGACTCGTCTCTCTCTTTTTCCGTAAGTACCCGTACCAACAGTGACTCATCTGTACATTCAGCTCCTCCTATCCAACAGGTGAATATTTTATGAAATATTATCATAATCAGACTCGTCTCTCTCTTTTTCCGAAAGTACCCGCACCAACAGTGACTCATCTGTACATTCAGCTCCTCCTATCCAACAGGTGAATATTTTATGAAATATTATCATCATCATCAGACTCGTCTTTTACAGTTTCTGAAAGTACCAACAGTGACTCATCAGTACATTCAGCTCCAACAGGTTAGTGTTTTTTATAAAGGAAGTAAAAAAAAACCACATCTAAGAAAAGTTGATTAGGCTTATTTTATTGTAAAAGAAAGTTTAACAGAGCAAATAAAAAAAAATTGAAAATTAGATTTATTTTTATTGTGGTGAAATGCAGTAGTATAAGTGATAATTGGGCCAAATATATCTTCCACTAACCACCATTAAATCACCCACATTTCCAGTCGTAGCTCAAACTCTATTGAAAAGAATCTAACTGCCTCGCCAAAGTGCACAATAATACCTTAGCTGCATATCACAGCTAGCTTTTATGTTAATTATTACATCTAATTATTACATAGTGAACAGAGAAATAATTATGTGATGGACTTATTTTGATTTGTAATAGTAACTAGATGTAGCTAACGTGCATTCAAATATTAATTAGAGCCTCTATAAATTTGGATTATTGATCATGAGACCACGACTATTTGGTAAACCTAACAAATTACATAATTAAATACTAATTCATTGCCCTAGCCTACACCCTTCCCCAACCCCCTCTCTACTCATGCTAAGGCCACTCATCAGATTGAAGATGGTGTCTAGCAGGCCGCACACACTGTTCTCCCTCCGTGTCGTCTACTCACGTTGGATCTTTGCGCGCGCGCGCATCTAGTCATTGCGACATCACGTGATCTTACGCCCTAGTCTTGTAGCGGGCACTACATTATGTTTAATTCAGGTAAAATAATATATACTTTTTAAACAAATTTAAGAGCATTCAGGTAAAAGTAAGATGAGACAACTACTAACCTTAAATTCTCTACTCTTAAATGATGATTGTTTGGTTCTAATGGCCTATAATTTTATCTAATGACACTTGGCTACCAAGATAAAAAGTGGTATATATGCCATTTTGTTCATTTATTTGAACAGTTCCTGTTGTTTTATTCAACTTTTAAAATTTGCACACAAAATGTTTACAGGTAAAGAGGAAAGGGGGTTGGCCCAAAGGCAGGAAGCGCAAGCCTGAGCTTGCTAACAGACCTCCCAAAGCCCCTTGCACTGGATATGTATATTATTTAAATGAAAAAAGAAAACTTCCTGAGTTTAGAAAACTACCATTTCCAGAGGTCAGTATAGTCAGTAAATGATATTTTATTTATCTGACTTCAGTGCAAATATTGTATTGACTTCAATTTAAAATTCTTCTGTAGTTAGATATGTACCGGTATTTTATTGTGTTATATACAGTATCATAATTCCTGCTAAAGTTTAAAGGACAATTTATTATGACAATTTGCTCATTGTACAAGTAACAACCTAAGTTCCTCAACAAGCACTAACTTAAAATAGTTCTGTTTTAAGAATGTTCAAATAACTAAAATCAGTTTACAATTTGAAGAACTTGTAGATAAACCATACAGTAATGTACATTCACTACTCTAGAATCTTTAAGATTGACATTTACCTAATGTAAATTTTAATTGAATTTGTATAGTATAAACGCCTGTTACACATTTTTTAGGTTACAAAAATCTTGGGCAATGAATGGAGCAATTTAAGTTTAGAAAACAAAAAAGAATATCTAGAAAAGGCAGAAGTTGACAAAAAACGCTACCGAGAAGAATTAAAAGTTTATCGAAACTCTGAAACGTACAAGTCATATTTGAAGAGAAGGCGCATAAAAAGTAAGTTAGTTACTAACATTACAAACTATACTGTAGCATAATTTAATACATAACAGTAAAAAATTCCCGAAGTGAATTCCTGTAGACATTTAGCGCGGTCGCCAGCTCCTGGAGAGGGCATATCGGTAATGGGGGTATAGCTGACAAGCCGTAGTGCATCATTGGTAAGTGTTTTTATTGCACCTGCGAGTCTATATTGTTGGTTGCTGTCAGTCATGTACCTGCATTGAAAAATGGCATTTAATTGACAGTGTGCGAATATTAAGTTATGCATTTTACTTTAATAAAGCCACCTAGTGGGACTCCAGTCCTTAGTTGTTAATTTAAGCTTATGGAGAAGAGGCGATGAAGAAAAGTCAAGTTTATGAGTGGCACAAACAGTTTTGTGAAAGCCATGAAAGCATTGACCTTCGTAGTAGACGTCCTTCAACAGCAGTCAATGACGTCAATATTGAGTGAGTACGACAAGTTGTTTGTGAAAATCAGGAATTGACAATCAATGAAATTGTATTTGAGGTACATTTATCTCATGGAAGTGTTCACACCATCCTTTATGATCATTTGAACATGCACCAAATTTGTTCGTGAATGGTTCCTGTCTCCTGAGCCCAAAGAAACTCTTATGTTATCCAATTTAGTACTACACAAGGATATATCATTGTGCGTCTTTTACCAAAAAGTGCTAAGCAACGATATATCATGCCAGCGTGACTTTCGATCGTGGGAGTTTAACGTGTTTAATCATGTGAGGGCATATCGGTTGACTAGGTTGTTGTTACGAAACAGCGATGGTTTCTATCCATTCCTCATACGATCGAGGCCTGAAAATCACTTTCGAGATGAAAAACTTTATTTTTACCAATTTTTTCTCTCACAAAATAGACTTTGCACCGGTGGCAAGCCTAGCACTTTTTGGACGAAATAAGTAAAAAACTCTAGCATTTTTTGGAAAATTGCAAAAAGATTCTAGCATTGAAAGGGTTATTAATTAGCTGGTGAATTCATTGACATGACCGATGCAGATCCAAATTTTTTTAATTAAATTGTGACTGGTGACGAAACATGATGTTATCTCTACGACCCCTACCAAGTTTGTGCCACTCAGTTTGTAGTACACAAACAACAGTAACTGACAAAGTAGACTTGCAGGTACACGAAAAGTGCTCACTAATTCTTTGGCCGGTCAGCTATACCCCCACTACTGATATGCCCTCCCCAGGAGTCACACTATGTACTGCAAGATGAATTTCCCGCTGGTGATCGTGCTAAATGTTCACAGAAAGACATCCTGGAAATTGTTTTGACTGTCATGGTAGTTACTAACATAAAATTGCCCAACTCAAAATTGCCCACTCAAGAAAAATTGTTCTGGCACAAGTAGTTAGCATTATTTATGGATTTGGAATAACAATTTTTGGTAGTATCATCGTCAACTCGCTATAGCAAAGTAACAGCGGAGACATCGTCATCAACCACCATTTCCAGCAATAGCGGTTGAACTCTGAACTCCTGTCATTACGGCAATATTATCATCACACACAAATCAATTCGTTTTTTGCCTTAGCAGCGAAATTTGGGACATCCCCTGTGATCTGGATACATATTCTTTGTCACTCATAGTTACGGGACAATTGAAACCAATTCCAAATTAAATATGATACCATTTGAAAATAAAAAATTAATTTTCCGGACTGTCCATCTCTAATATATAAATGAACCCTAATTCACTCTATGTGCTTTTTAGACTGTAATTTTTTTCAGGTTGCAAAACCAATGGTACTGAAGAATCAGATGTGACTGATGCCACGGATGAAATCGATGTAAGTAAGCATAACATTTAAATAATCTTACAATAACTAATAATCATTCCTCTTCTAGACCTATATAGTTTGTTCAAGGAAATGCTATATGCCAGGATTTTGAATTGTAGAATAAAGGCGATAACAGCTGGCTTACCAGAAGCAATACAGGTAGGCTCATAGGCTATAGAATGCACATAAGGCATATAAAACATACAATATTTTTTCCCTAGGTGAAACTTAGTAGGGAAAGAAAGTGACCAAACATAGTTGCCGCTGAGACACGTTTACCAGTCTGTCCTTGGCTTTGTTACCTTTAATGCCTGAACGTCCAGGCACCCAGCAAAGCGTAGGATCATTCCCTATGTACTCAATTCAGACACAGAAACAAGACAGTACCACAAAAGAGTTGAATTTGTATGAGTTAAGAAAGAGCTTTTATAGTTGCTTGACTATCAGTATAACAATTTCTTGCCTCTGATCTCTTTACCAAGATTTTCTTGAGCACAAACCAAACCTTGATATTTATCAGTTTCAACAATTAAGGTATAAAAAAATCCGAGTTGTGGTTTTACAATGAAGAGACATATTACAGTATACCCTGTGGCACTGCTACACTCCGGAACTCCAGCAAACCAACGTCTTTGACGTCAGCACTCGTCAAAGACATTGGTTTGCTGGAGCGATTCAAGTTGAGGCACCTTATTATTGTGTATCAGTTTAATTCACAGTGCCTAGTGTGATTGTATTTAGAAGCTTTGAAGTAACAGAAACATAATCATCGTCTTCTGCGATCACGGCAAATTCGTTTTAGGCCGCGTAGACATTATCATCACATCTCCTACGATCGAGTCAAAATTATATTTATTTATTTATTTATCTATTCATTACACGTCATTACATCATTTGACAGAACATAGTGTCATATACAGGATAATACTAAAACTAAGAAATAACAAAAATGTCTTACTAAATTATTAATCTAACTTAACGTCCCTATTTAAATAACATTCGATGGAAACATTTTTTTTTCAACCAGGTCTTCAGGGTGGATCTGAACTGTGCATTACTATCAATATTTTTTATGCGGAGCGGTAACTTATTGTAAACTTGTGGGCCTATATATTGGGGAGATAAATGAAATTTCTCTAATCTATGGGTTTCAGGCTTAATATAACTCTTAAATCTAGTGTGATGGGATTGAAAGGGTTGGGTCATGAATAAGGTCAGATTGTCATTAACCCAATTTGAAATTTCTAAAATATAGTGGTCATAAAATGTTAAAATGTTAAATTAAATGTTTGAAAAAGACTTTTTCAAGGAGTTCTACAAGGAACTCGCCCGATAATTCTAATTGTTTTTTGTTGAAGTTTGAATATTTTGAATATATTAAAGAAAAATAAGCATGATAAACTATAAGCTGAGTCTTCAAGTTAACAGCTTGTCTGATTGCGCGATTGAAGAGAGAAAATACAGCAGTTTAATCATTTGATCAAATTAACAACTTGTGATTTCCAGTTAAGATTTTTATTTACAGTTATACCTAAAAAATTCACATTTTGCTGCAGTGGCATTTTAGATTTTGATGTTGTAATTTGATCTGTTTTATATTGATTATTATTAAAACTAAACTCTATAAGCTGAATTTTATCATCATTCATAACCAACCCATTCGCCTGGTATATAATCATGCTACGCGCCCGTGCAGACATATTGTGTAGACATTGTCATTGTCCCATGTTAGGGTCGAAATTCTGATCATTCACCGTGGTCGACATCGTCTTCCACAGTTAGGGCAAAAGCCTCTGAATACCCCTTGCGGTAACAGAAAAATCCTGCTAGCGGCATTCTAAACATCTCCTGTGGCCATGTAGACATCATAATCAACCCCAGTGGTCACAAAAACCTCATTGTCGTGGTGCACGATCGCGGCAAAATCTGAACATCTCCCACGGTCATGCAGACGCTATCACAGTCATTCGTGATCGCGGCAATAGCGATTTTCAATCGTGCAATCGTTGCAGACGTGTTGTTAACAATCGATTTTTGATACTGATACCAATGTCCAAGTATCGGTGATATCGAGAATCTACACATCCTTATTTAATTTATAATAACTGTTTTGGTACAATGAAACACATATTCTGTAAGTGTTTAAGATCATATTTGGCAAACCGTAAACAAAGAACTTTCAAAAAAAGGGAATAAATAAAAGTACTTTTCAGACTGGATAAATATAGAATGTGGAATTCCTCAAGCCTCAATTCTGGGGCCTCTATTATTCATCATCTATATCAATGACTAGCCCCAACAAATTCTTTCAGAATTAATACTTTTTGCAAATGATACCACTACTTTTGTGAAAGGCAACTCAATGTTGGAAGTGAAAATTTCAGTAAACAAAACTTTGGAAGATCTCCGTGAATGGTTTACAGCTAATGGTCTGGCACTAAACAGTGATAAAACAAATGTCTTATAAAAAAAAATCAAATATGACGGATATTTCACAACAAAAATTTCTTGGAGTGATCATTGACCAAAAATTAAATTGGTAGGAACATATGGTGATTATTTATTGAAAAAATTAAAATCATTCTTTTTTGCTTTTTAGGTTTAGTTCTTTCTCAGTGTGCATCAAAAAATGTTACCAGAATAGTTATTTTTGCCATGTAGAATCCAATTTGAGGTATGGCATTACCTTATGGGGAAATTCAACAAATAGCAAAAAGATATTTTCAATACAAAAATGATTCATTAGGATTATGGCAAACGCTAAATTTTTTGCTTCCTGTAAAAAAAAAAAAACATTTAACATATCAGTCCATATTAACTTTCCCCAGCCTGTTTATTTATGAAAGCCTTAATTATATGTCATTAAAATAAGATAGATTTTGAAAAGTTCTTAATAAAAAATAAATACAACACCAGAAACAAGAACCTTTACAGTTACCCAATCCATCGAACAACAAACCTTGAAAATAGTATATTACGTTACTAGTCCTGAAAATAAGTGTTTGCCAAACGAGTGTGGTCGTTCCAGTGTGAGACGAAGTCGAGTATGGGATTACCATACGAGTCCGGTAAACACATTTTGGACGAGTGACGTACGATAGTTTACGCCATTCTACTAAATCTGTACAAATCCTTACATATTACCACCAACTAAAGGACTAAAAATCACTAGTCATAACCTTTAAGAGAGGTTATGTTTTTGTTTATAACTACTCATTGCCACCCAAATAATACTGTATTTAAACAAATAATACCAATCAGCTGATTGGTGTCCGGTAAAACTCATTACAGTACAGAAATACGCAATGAAACCCCATTTTATTAAGCTGGCAGCAAACATCTGTTTTCTGGACTAAATCCTTACATGGAAAGTTTGCCAAAATAGTGTAGTGTGGCGTAAATGTCCTTTTTATACAGGCCTAAACCTGTACAACCATTTGCCGAATAAATTTAAACAATTGGCATAAAATGTTTTTAAAGTTAAAATTAAAGAAACAAGAATTCTACAGGATAAGGTTTATTATTCCATCTGGGACTTTTTAGCAGACCTTGGGTTAGTCATTGTACATTTTTATTGTTATTGTAATTTTCTGTTTTATGTAAAATGTATTTTCCATTGTATTTTATTATTAAGATTTGTAATTGACAAGACACCAGTTACAAGCACCTAATGTAACGTTATTTGTGTCAATAAATTGATTTGATTTTGATTTGTTTTTATTGATGCTGTCACAGGATGAGGACAATGAGGAGCTGTATTGTAGGTCCTGTGACCAATGGTTCACAACTCTTCACAACAAGAAGGAACACCTTTATGGCAAACAACACTTTCAGGTATTGTGTTCTCAGTATTTGTCCAAACATGGTTAATTTTGATAATTTATTACAATCCAAAACTAACCGCAATCATCAACATGCTAAATTGTATTTTTATCTTTTTCTTGTGGTGAAAAAAATTCTCAGTTTATTGAGTGATAAATCTAATTCCTAAGTTTATGTATACTACCCAGTTATTTGTATAAATTGAGTGGTTTTAGAAACTTACTATCTAAATTTTGATAAAAAATATTACCAAGTGAATACGATCTATGATACTTAGGTCCAAGCCACTTAAAAAAATGCATAGGTAGGAAATTATTGCAGTTTTGTTCAAGTTGGTTTTTGTTTGTATTAGTTGTTTCTTAATTAATTGTAGTTAATTAATTAGTATTGTGATTGTGTAATGTCTGAATTAGAACACAGAGAAATAAAGAGTTGGTCTGTCTCATCGACCAATCTGTCTATTGTGATTAACCAAGTTCTCTGTTTCATTAACTGTCCGTTTCTGTAGAGTCCAGTTAAAACCTCTCCAGTTTATATTTAATTTGATCAAAACAGCAATTATTTCCCTTAGGTGGAAGTGCCATATTCGAATAGTGATTTTTTTCATCAAGTCTGGTCCTAAAATTTTGTTGCACCCTACTGATTGGTCACTTTGATAATCCAACACATCAAGTGCACAAAAACAGTTGATACAGTGCACCCAAAACTAAATTCTCCCATGTACATACTAGAATATTCTTAAAACTCAAAAAATAATCATGCAATAATAATGTTTCCAAATAAAATTAGTAACAAAACAACATTTGAAACAATACTGAAGTCTACATCATGAAATCGAAAACATGTGCTTTCTCAATTATTAGGCCTTTACATAATTCACAATTATTGTTTATACCTAGCTTTATTTTTATATAGTTAATGTTTGTTCATTCAACATTAAAGTGGTAGCCTATGAAAAAGTTTTGTATTACTTCCAGGCGATATCTCAAAATGCAAGCAACTCTTTCTCATTAGACGAGTCCAGCTTGGATGGAACATCTCATAAAAAGTCAAGGGCTGCAGCCAACCCAGATCTTCCATCCATCCCAGATGCAATGGCACACTTTTTCTCCAATGTCGCAGGTATTTAATACTGCTCAGTTGGAAAGATATAACTATTGCTGTTTAATTTCCTATCTATATGGAGCAGCTGCAGCCTTTTTTTTAGAATATAGCTAAACAAGCCAATTTGGGTCCTAGTGCTACAGTTTAATAATTATACTTTCTGAAAATTTTTATTATAGCATTTTTTCTCTGTCCTGGTAGAAAGTAATGGCTTCATTAGTTTTTGCTACTAGAAATAAATAATGTTTGGAAGTAATACAAATGATAGTTCTATTATTTTTTACCTAGGCCTAAATGTAGCTTGATATGGTTTACATTGGGTTTTGAACAGATTAGGTTATAATAAAGGCGTTTGCCTAGAAGATGGATGTCTAGTCTTATATGCATAGGAAAGAGATCACGATTGTGTGCAACAATGAAAAAAAATCAGTTGTCCTGGTATTAGTAAATATCTTCTTTGCAAATTACACTTCCCTTGTTGAAAATTTTGTTTGTTTTTTTCCTCCCTTAAACCAAAAGTTAAAAATACGTATTCGGTTTATGCTCTCAGTGATTCAGTGGAAATTCTCTTAATTTTTCAGTCTAAATTCTAAAATGTCAATGGCATTTTTAGTTTGTAAATCCATTGCTAGACGTTTTGAGTGGCCTACTAGAAATATTTTAATAACCAATTTTAAAATAATTCAAGTTTATTAATTAAATAAATACAATTGATTTGATTACAGAACGTGAGAGAGAAATAAGAATACTTCGAGAGAGAGAAAAGTCGTTGGTTGCAAGGAATATGAAAATTTCCAAGGGTCTTCAAGAACTGAAACAGGCTCAAGTAAAGCTACAAAACATCTCCTCTCGGCTTAAAGCCGAACACGAGTCAATTGAAAGAGCGATCTGTGATCTGTTAGAAGTACCAGCTCTGTTCTCAGTAGAGGTGTGCGAGTCTTAGATATTTCATCAAGGATATGTATATTATAGCCAAGCACAAGTCAAATTTATGAAAAAGCTCGAGCCTCAAGTTATTTCCTGTTATAAATTGTGCAAATTGCCATTTGATAAGTTAATTAGTCAAACACCTGTTTAAAAGCAATCTATGTTATGATGCAGGGTTAAATATAACCTAATTATGTGTTAGTGGATGAATCGAGGAGCTAAGTTCATAATAGTCATTTAATTATATTTTTTTCTAAAGGAAATGTTGTCGGTGCAGTCATGGGTAAATAATACAAGTAAATAATAAACAACTGTTATAACAAGTTAATTATACTACATTAATTAATTTAGCATTTTGATTAATTTTTTTATTTTAGTGAGTTTGATAATACTGCTACCTAATTAGTTTAAAAGTTATCATTTGAAAGATATGTAGCCTAAAGCCTATAGGTAAATATTTTAAGATCAAAATAAGATAGTTACAAATTATTTAATTTATTTTTTAGAGGAATGTATTTATTTTCATAAAAATATAAAGGCTAGCACTTCTTTTTACCTTCAACAACGGCTAAATTATTTACGTAGGAAGTTAATGTTTACGAATCTTAATTTTCTGATTATTTCAGAACAATCTGAAAGTTAAAGCTTGTACGAGTTTAAAAGCATGGTCACTGAAGCCAATTTAAATTTGTCGATTGGATATATTTCCATAAACAAGTCATATATTCCCCATTCAAATTACATTAGCTTTTCGTAGTTAGCAAGATACCAAAGTATAATTCAGTCAGAATGGCCAATTCTGACAAATGATTGACACTAGGGGTGTGCTGAATATTCGCACATCAAACTTTTTTGAGTCGAATATCGGAATCTCTCACATAGGCAACTAAGATCTACACATCTTGGCTGATATTTCTCTTCCTGAGATAATATGAAGCCTAGCCACAGGGACTGTACTGTAATAGAGAAGAATGTAGAAGGTTTACGTAGTTTGTATCAGACCGACATTTTGCCTCCATTCCTGGAGTCAGGTATTACTGATATGAATGTGATTTGAAGTTTTTAAACCCATTTAGCTATTGTTAAGTTGTGACTTAGAAAAACACTGGTTGCCTTATTAGTGTATAGGATTATTGGGACAAGCTGAGTGGGATTGCTGTTCAAACTCCACAAAATACCACTAATAATACTAAACAATTTGTTTTTAATTTTAAAAATTTGTGTTGACTGAATGTTTACCTGTTTTTTGGTAAATTTTACTGTTGGCTGGTTGTTTAAACGTTTACAAATTATTGTTTTTTAGTTGTAAAGTTTTCAATGAATAAACAAAAACTAGATATAGTCTGTTCACAAAATTTAGGCTATTGGAGGGAAAGATTACCTTTGTTCCCTTAACACGTTTTTCCTAATGTATGTCACAGCTGATTGACAGTTTGAGCTTACTAACAGCTGTCCAGCTGTCGTTTCCAATGTTGGGTAAGGTGAAGGGGATAGAATTGGCCTAAATTTTGTAAACATAACCAATATACATCTCCAGTCATCAGAAACATACCTAAAAATTTGACCTCAGCTGGTTTTAGCGAATTTCCCTATAGGGAAGTAGCTATTACCGTAGGTGGCACGGTAAGACCTAGACCCGGGACCGAATTACTTTTTCATTTTGATGTCCCCAGAGGCCAAAAACACCATTCGTTCAAATTTTTATATATGTATATATATATACGTCCGTGAACGCGATAACTTGAGTAATTTTTGTCCGATTTTGATGAAATATGGTTTAAAGGTGTAAAGCGGGATAAACTTGAATGAGTTCGCGAACCAGCACAATCGGACCATGGGAACGGGGTTTTATGGGGTAAAAATTGGTTTTTCTCACTTTTGACCCTCAAAACACAAAATTTCCCGATTTCTCTTTAGACCTTTTTAAAGAGCTTAAAAAAACAAATAATTTAGTATATAAAAGTATTTTTGTTCGATTATTAGTAACGGAGAAAATTAAAAAAATTGTAAATTTAAAATTCCCATGTTATTCTTATGGAGAATATTGTCAAATGTTGTAGTTTGCTTGTTTATGGTTATATTTTTATCAAACTTGGCAAATTTATTTATTTTGTACTAAGCTATCAATATTTTACTCAAAAACACACTTTATTAGTTTCCTTGTAGCAGCAAACCTAGGTACTCGTTAAACCTAATGTTATTAAAATATATTTAACTGAAAATCAATTCAGACAAATGGAAATTCGCTTAGTCGGCAGGTTTGCTGCGGCGGGGATATTTAAGAACATCTTCTATATATAAAGCCAAAAGTACCCATGAACTTTTGACGAAACTACAAGTCACACCCCCATAAACCATATACTTAAAATGTTCCTCGTGACGAGAAACCTTGCGCCAAATTATCCATTATTTCTTAAATTGCCCTATAAGGTCGTAATTGCTTTCCAAAGGGAACTTTCCATATACCTCATGTTAAAATACATTAGCTGTAAGTATGTTTTGTTTATTTCAGCTTAACCTAACCAATCAATAGTTTTATTAATACTTATGAAGTCAAACGGGGTGAAGCCCGTGGGTAACAACTAGTTAAATCTAAAGACAAATTCTTGTGTTGAGTTTTTAAGATATGATGTGAATAGACTTCACTATTAAAGGAAAATAAATTATAGGTTGAATCGGATAAAATCTTTTTAATACTAGGTACTGAAAATTTGGGCTTCCACAGCAAAGTAAGATACAGAGGAAACTTGCTTATGGAACGACCGAGCGCTTTCAACTCTTGTAAATTTGCATGTAAAATACACCTTGACAAGCAAGGAAGAGCCAGAGTGGTGAGCACTGTGCCGAAGTTCCTATCACACAGGGTCTTCTTCTAGCATGAGAATTGTAGTATGTGGTGGTGGGGGGCTTAGGAGAAGCGACTAGTGCTAGACATGACTTAAGTGCACTATTGAATGTTCACTGTATCTTACTTCTGAGGCGCTTTAAACCATGGGTACAATTAAATGAAGATGCATTATTTCCCATACCGTTACATCTTAATTGTTAAATATTGCAGGATAATGGGAATTAAGATGATCATAATCATTTATATTAATATTAATACTGAGACCTGTATTGCTGCCAAACACTATTTGAAATAAGTTATAAAGTAGAACGTAGCAGGTTAAACAATAACTGCCAATTAAAAAAATAGCCTATTTACCTGTTGTTTGCAAAGTTTGTGTTTTAGTCAAGCACTTAAAAACTGATTTGTTATCTTTTAAGTTACTTCTTGAGAGCTTTATTCATTTCCAAGCATAAATAGAATAATTCCTAAAACCTGATGATTTATTATTAAGAATGGCTGTGATATGAGGATAAAGTTATATTGTTGATGTTTATAAATGATTTTATGTTTAATATTTTACTGAACTTTCCACAATGATCAGTTTGTATGTATGTAAATTGCATAATCTTTATAGTTGAAAGAGTGCATGGTCATGCTAAAATGTATGTGTCAACCCCAGTACATGTTGTTTAAAGGTTATGATATTTTTCAAGGTCATACATAATACCTTTTGACATCCCTATCCACATTACAGACAGTGTAACTATTGTCGACTGGTAACTGACTGCCCTCGTTCAACGTTTTGCAACTTGGTGGATGCAGTCTTCCCTCATATGTAAACAAAACATGTTGAGATGTCTGAACTTGAGTAGCTGTAGGACTGAAAAACAGGGAAAATCTCTTGTGCACAACTCAATTTTCCCATTGTGGCAGTTATTATGATTAGTTTGTCAAACTTTTGTTACTGTAAAAACTAAGCATTGTTAATCCACCCTGCACTTATGATTTATCAAATTAGATTAGGCCTATTACTTGTAGTCTAGGTAGTTATATGGGATTAAGTCAGGAACCATTAAGTTCTATTGTACCATAGACAAAAAGAATTAAATATAGACTGTCAGCCGTGCTGCGGTTACCATAGGTTCCGGCGCACACCGCTGTAGTTTACGTAGCGCGTACACTGTAAATACATGGCGCTCCAAGCGGTGTGCGCCAGAAGCTATGGTAACCGCAGCACAGCTGACGGTCTATATTTAATTCTTTTTGTCTATGATTGTACTCAGCAAATCATTTTTCATAATTCTATGAAAGATCCAAGAAGTTTTCATGTTAGATATGGTTATAACAGTTTGTAAATAAGTTTCTAAGAAATTTGTTTATGTATCATATCAATCTCAACTATAAAAAAAAAAAAAAACTAGTATTGTATAGGGAAATGTAAATACAGTTAGGGTTAATTTATGAAATGTAAATATTTTTAAGTACGTCATAAATAAAAGTTTTTGAGGTTAATTTATATTTCTTTGATCCTTGCGAGGTATATTTAAGAAAAGTTTTAATTTTTAGGTAAATAATATTGTCACAAGGATTTTCCACAACATTTTTTTAAGATCATTGGATGATTAGAAAAGTACAAAGCATGAGCAGAGTTGTGATCACTTATGACGAAATACTACTCTTGCTATGACGTTATAAGGTTGTTTTGTGCCTTAGATGAAATTGTGGAAGGGGTTGAACCTAGAATGAAATGATTGTACGTCCTGGGTGAGACGAAGTCAAATGTGGAAAACACATTTTGGACGAGTGGCGTACAATATTTTAGAGTTGTAGTTATATATTTTATTTATAAAAAAGGGTTGTGTAGAGTTATACTACTCTGAATTAACCTAACAATAAAAAACTTAATAAATCCTTTAGCCTATATGATACCCACCGACTAAAGGACCTTACAATCACTTCTCAAAACTTCTAAGAGGATTATGTTTTAGTTTATAAATTATAACCAGTGCCACTGATTAGGATGAAACAACTCAATGTGCCAACCACTCGTTGAATAATGAGCTAAGTCTGGTAATAGTAGTTTATGCAACGATTGCGTAAAGATAGTGTCGTTAACACTATTTACGCGAGTTGCGTTCACTACTTTACCTACGACGGTGTTTTAGTTACTAAAAATCACTACTCATAACTTCTAACTGCCACTGACAGTGATGCAGTAAAACATTGCACCAATCAACAATTAAATTGGCCTGAACAGCTGATTAGTTGAATTTCGAATCATTATAATTTTGCTTTCTTTCTCTCAATCCTTGAACCTTATTGGTCCGTTACCTGTGTTGTTATGAGTAAAACTATGCTGTTATGAAAGTAAACAATGCTGTTATGAGATACTTTTCAATTCTAAGAACTGTACTGAAACGGCTACATTAAAAACGGTCATAAGTAAAAATGCATTACAGTACAGTGTTACGTAACAAAATCCCATTTGACTAAGCAGGCGCCCAACATTTGTTTTCTGGACTAAATCCTTGTGTGGACAATCCATTTAAAAAGTGTAGTATCGTGAAGAGTCCTTTTCATATCACACAACAAAGCTACCGGTAGGTCTCTTTAAAGGAAATATAAATCACAGGAGGAAGCAAAAGGTGTTGGTTAAGGGGCCAAAGGAATGTTACAATTCCACTCTTCTACAAATGTACTGACCATTCGTTATGTAACCTGAATAGGTTAGTTTGCCAATTAATTAAAAAAAAACATTTACATCACGAAGATGAAGTAGATATTTAGGTGCACAAGAAGTTTAAGGAGTTCATGGGATCAATCACAAAGCAGTCTTTAGTATAATGAATAAAAAATATATATTTAAAATGAATGACAAAACCTGAGTTTACTATGATGGTTTCTTTGATTTACAAGGTTTAAACTTGTTTTTTATGTCATCATTGTATCCTTCTCTGTTCCTTGCCAACTCGATTGCAAGAAACTGTATTCTTGTAGTCAACATTGAGTTATCTTCTGAGTATTCTCCATCTGACTTAACCCGTACTAATGTTCCAAAACTGTAGTCTTCTACAGTGGTTTTGAATTTTTCACAGAACGGTCTCCATTTCTGAAAAATAAAATTATCATCAGTAAGTACCTCAAACATTGAAATTATTCAACGTTACCAATCAAAATTATTAGGTAAAATTGTCAACGCTCCTTGGTTTGTTACCAACAATGATCTTCAAATTCGAACAGTCAAAGATTACAATATCTAGTGAAAAATACATTATAAAATTGGAAAATCATTCAAATCATCTTGCACTTAATTTATTGGACAATCACAACACCATTTACAGACTGAAGCGACATACGATATTGGACCTACCATTCAGATTCGGCTAAGTGTTATCAAAATTCTCTTTGTTAGCTAGTGTTGACAGTGGTCAATCACTAGCTCATGTTCTTCAAGTTATTTTTGTATTACTATTTATATCATTTGCTTATTGTTCAACTTGAACAGATTGTAAATTAAATAAAGTTACAAAAAAAAATCTTACTAGATTTTAGCTACTGATTGTGATGGTAATAAAAGTATAAAAAATTCAATAAAAAGAGCACAGACAAATAACTGGTTAAATTAGTTTTAAATTTGCCAATAGAGTGAGGCAACTTTTTAAAAATCCATACCTCTTTCCCTTCAGGACTTTTAATTTCATCCTCATTCAAAACTTTAACATCCAAGTTTGGAAATTCTTCCCTGAATGTTTTGTATATCAAATCATCATGAGGGGTCAGTCGGAGAAGTCTTGGATCAACTGAGCATAGAATCTGAAATAAAATACACACATATTTAATGTCCAATCAATTCAAAGTCCAATTGTGAGGGAATTTAAATGGCATAGGATCAATTTGACACATTACATATAGAATAATGGAGCAATGATATGTGTGATGCATTAAAATTAGTACCTAGATGCATTTTAAGTGTAAGTCAATCCACTCCAGTGCAGTAGAAGTTTAAACAACTTCATACTACTACAGGTTTTATGTACAAAAAAATAAAAAATAATTATGTCAGTTCAGGATGGATAAAAAAGTTGAAGATGGTCTACACATCATTTGTAATGTCCTACAATCTATGCTGGATTTGCCAATAGTGAGTAGTACATTTGTAGGACAAAAATAGAATTTTTAATTTTAAAAATCAATATTTTGCTATTAATGCGGGTTACGACGACGATGTTGGGTGATCACAGGAGAATGGAGATGTTTATGATTTCGTTGTAATTGGTTATAATGATGCCTGCGTGATTGCGGGAGATATTTACAATTCCTTGGGTGATCGCAGATGGTGAGGATGATGTCTCTGTGATAGTGGGAGAGGGAGATGTTCACCTAAGTACAGTTAAGAATATATACATATATTTGTGCATGTACAAATTTTCTCTTGTTTACTCTTTGGTTAAACACTCAACTGAAGTATCACCTACGAAATTTTGCTCAGATCGTGGGTAGCGATGATGATGTCCCGTGATGGTGGCAGAAGTTAACACACAGCGGCAAAGTTTTGCTTTTAAAGGACGCGGGTCGCTTGGGTTGATTTGGACTAGGGCCGCACCCTAAATCTGATCGTATTACCCTAAATCCGACACTGCCTACAACACTAGGTAGGCAGTAATTCTAACATTCTATATCTACCGTTTGCCTTAATTTTTACAACCAAGATAAGTACGTATTACCCTATAACAAACCTTTTTGGAATAACTATTAGAATACTTACGTTAAAGTATATTTCTGCATGCTCATAAGCTTTGATTGCCCACATTGCTTCAATAGTTTGCTGAAAAAACATATACTGAGTAATAAAGGCAGTTTTTACCTACTATTGGCTACCTACTATACTTTTTAAAATAGTTCAAATCTAGATCCTTAAAAATCCAAGGAAGCGAGCAATATAGTTCCAAACCTACTTTATGCTCTCACATGAGAACGTTAAGGACAATTAGGATATGTTTTTTTTATAGCCTATTATTCATTTTATGTGTCTTCGGTCTGTTGGATCAATCACACTCTAGGCGTCTTTGGTGTAGGGGACCAAATTACACAATTGCAGACGAATCTGTAACCTCAAAATTACGCCCTCGTGTCTGGTGGTTGACTGAGTCGATGTAGGAAAGTAGCAGGAGACACAAGTCTTGCACTCTAGCGGGGGGAGCAGGAACTTGATGAAAATATTGTATCATCGGACTCATAGATCGAAGACACCACTCTAGGTTAATTCACTCTGGTAGGCCTACATCCATCAACTGTGAAAATATTATTTAGGCCTATATCCTATTAGGGAAAGGTTGGCTCTTTGGACTTGTTGGAAAATGGGTTATTTGATTGACAAAATAATACACATATTCCATCTATAATTACTACCTACCTCGTAAGTAAGTGGTGCATAAATAGGCCTATTTGTCATCTACAGTGGTAAGTTACGCCAGAAAAATGTAGGGAAGCAATAAACTAGAGGTTGTAGACTGTTCAGCCTTGGCCTTAACTTAAAACTAGGCCTAGTTTAACATTAATACCAAAAACCCCGGTCTGACAGGCCCACGGGAATTTTCAAAAACGCATGTTGGCAACACTGTTCACTTGGTAGATTCCATTCCCCCAATACCTTCCCCCCCTTTTCCTCCCCTACCTATTCATATATCGTTTGTTCATTTTGCATGGGTGCCGTGACCTTGACAGGTCGTCTGTTCATAACATGTCGGTCTCAGAAGCCCAGCGTTAGTGTATTTTAAAGCGGGGTCTCACAGACCGAGGGTTTCGGTTTGTGTATTTCTAAGCGTGGTCCATTATTTTTCAAATGGGGTCTCACAGACCGGGGGTTTCGGTTAACGTCAGCCTAGGTGGGGTTTCGGTATTAGTGTTAAGTTAGCCTGTATAAAGCCATCCAAACTGATCTTGTTTGAATAATTTTTTGGTCATCCCAGTTTTAAGAACATAAATTAGCCTAACTTATATTAGATTGTCATTTGTTATTATTGCATATGTTCTTGAGTAAGTTAAGTACCTACAGTAAGATGTTTGTGTCACCCAATAAGTTACATTTCACCAGAACGTGTGCCATCTTCAGGGTTCTTCTTGTTAAGCCATAGGCCTATTCCTTACTTATTTCATAAGGCTAAATGTTTCATTTAAAGTAAAAACACAAAATAACTTAGGCTATGCCGCCTGAGGACTTTCTTCAATAGGCAAAGGGTTGTTCTACATGTAAAAAAACAATGAAAGTGTGCCAATATTATAGGTAAACGATTAGAGTACCTATAAAAGAAGTACTTTGTGGTATTGTTGGCTAGGTTAGAATTTTACTTACATCATTTTCAAACTCTTCTGCCGGTCGAGAAAGGAGGGAAGCTCCTGCAAGCATACCCTCTGCACTCTGAAACATCATGACAAATATTAATTTTCGATTTAGGCCAACTTATTTTGAAACATTTATTAAAAATGATAACCTAAATTCTAAATAAATACGTGAGATGCTCACCATGTTGTCGTCTGACTGACAGCCAAGTTAGAAAAAAAAACAAAAATCCAATTTTATTTTATTTATCAACTCTTATTCTCACTCTACTCTAGTCCGATCTTTTATATATTTGAATCGAACTCGTAAAGTCTCACAACTTATAACGTCTTAGCTTCTAATGGTAAATATAATTGGAGAGCATATCCAACTGATAGGATTACCATAGATTACACATGGGTTACTTGTTTTACTCTATTTAACAAAACAATGTAGGCTACAGTAAAGGGCCTATTCACACTGGGCCACCATGGTGGTCGGTCAAAATGTGCATGAACCACCAGCTCAGCCACCAATGTGGCTGCAGCCGCAAAGCTCACAGTTTAATCATGGACGTCGAAGAAGCAGGTGCTTTAGCAAATATATTTTTTAAATTAAGAAAACATAAAAACCTAGTTTTTGGGTTCATCTGTTTTTGAGATAGAAGTACCAGAGGGATTTTTTTTCACTCACTACCAAGACCTTAGAAATAACCCTGACAAGTTTTACACTTACTCAAAAATGTATTTTGTATTTCCAATATGAAACGCTCCGTATCTACTTGATCCGTACCGGTATTCATGATCTTCATGTTTAGCACTCCACTAGTAGACTGTGTAATGCCTGCTGGTAGTGACCGGTGGCGCTGCCAGTCGCAATGTGAACCATGGTGCGACGTGGTGGCGCCACCTTACTGGTGTCTTTGAAAATCGCAACCCCAAACCACCGCATTTCTGGTCGCGCGGCCAGACGCGCCAAAAACGCCCAGTGTGAAGATATCCCATTTAAATCAATGCTAATGTAACGTAGCCACCATGGTGTCGCCACCGGTGTCACCACCATGGTGGCCCAGTGTGAAGGGGGCTTATAGTAAATGATGTGGAACCAGAATCTTGAACTTTTTTAATCTGTCTTGTGATATTCAGCTGCTTAACATAGTTTACCGATTCTAATCTAACTAATCTACCCACCGATACCGACATCGGTAATGTGGAATTAAAATTAATAACATAATTAGTTCATATCAACTAGACTTTGATCAATTACTTGTCAAGCCCTTGGGGGGTACGATTCCGGTCGCGGACATATTTTATACCAGCTGGTTGTCTGGTTTCATGACGTCACGGTAAGCCTGGGGGGTGATGTTTCCGGGGGCAACCATTCCGGCGACCCGGGGGGTACGATTCCGGTCGCGGACATAGATTTTATACCAGCTGGTTGTCTGGTTTCATGACGTCACTTTTAGCCTGGGGCGTGATGTTTCCGGGGGCGACCATTCCGGCGACCCATGTTTAGGTGCTTTTGCCAAACCAGGAATCTTTTTTTTTACTTTTGAGTTTTCAGTGGTTTTCATCCTCTGTACTGTAACACAATACAACAAAATAAAAAAAAGTCATCCCTCTTAACTAAAATAATATCAAAACATTGATATATAATGTATTTGGTACGCATTGTTTAATTTCCTGCTGTGAGTTTGTGGATCAGTTGATCGATCGAATGACAATATAACTATATATTAACATGATATTAACTAGAGCTGCAATGTTTGGAGTTCGCGTCCCTACAATCTATTTTTTGTACTATACCACCTTTCCCCTTACAGTATTTTGCTTGGAATGGGTTTCGTTCCATGCACAGGCCTCAAATGAACGGGCAAATGCAATGTTACAAGAGAACCTCTTTTTCAGAACAAAGCATATCTCCAATAAACAAATTCTTCGTGGAATGTGTACGAGGACAATATTCCTGAATGTTTTAAAGTGGGATGGCCTCTGCCACTTATCCTTGACAGTCTCCTTAAGCTGCTTACAACCATGGTGGAAGGAAAAAAGCATAGGTGTGCTATTCCCATCATATTCTGATATCACTCGGAAACTATATCGAGCACAATATGTGGTCTAGTATTATAGTCTCTACATTATTGTGTGACATGTGTTAATTTTGGTTTTGGTTCATCTGATTTGAGTAAAAAGTCTTTATCTCGGTGTAAATCTGTTCTCGACAGCCTTATTGCGGTGTGTTTTGTATTTCGTTTTCATATATCGATCTTTGTATCTTTATTGAGACTGTGCTAGTGAAGGGTTTATAGTACCTACCACAGAAAACAAAAAAAAACACTATTTAGTTCGTCCACGTCACTAATCCGGCCAACACGAAATTCCGACAAACAAATCATATGCTAGTAACAAAATATTTAGTAACATCATAGGAGTATGTTTTATCTATGGTAACATCTTTTGTACTAGAAGAAAAAATGTTCCTCACCTGGAACTACTGAGTTATTATTGAACTAACTATTCCGGTCCAGTGACGTAACAGCCCAGCCATGCTTGTATTTGGCCCTAATGTATGCCAAGATTTAGTACAGATTTCGTACCTACTATTTTGTTGACCATAAGGACAATAAGGAAGGTGTTTTGCGTCAGATCTGTTCTCGAGAGTATGGTACTGTATTAGTATGGGAATAAAATATTATTTAGAGAGTGATGAGAAAAGAGAATAAATGAGATAGAGAGTAATAGTATAGATTTCGAAGGACCAGGGTAAAATGTTGATGTATGATAAATATTTATAAAATATATGAGAGGCAAAATTAAACACACCTTTTAAGAATACAAGAGAAAAAAATCTGTTTTATTTACTTTTTTGAAATTCAACATAATAGAGAAAAATTTAATTTGATTGAGAATATATGTTTATACATTTAAGTACCTAGTCAATCAAACCAAGGATTGTTAAAAATATAAATAAAATTGAAGTTCACTGAACAGAAGGTAATGTAATATCATAGATAAAACATACTCCCTTATCATAGATAAAGAATGTTTTATCCAAGGTAATACGCACTGAAATTGATTGATGAACTTAGCAAATATTTCATTACCATAAAAACAAATTTATAGTAAAATAACTCATTAATTGTTCTATATAAATTTTATTCGAACACTTTAGTGATAAGGATTGAATTTGTTGCCTGTAAATGCTATTATACATCCGCACGAAATTGACCATGGTCATAGTAAGTGGTGTTATGAACCTAAAATGGTACAAATCAGTCGTTAGGAACGTCAGGTCTTATGGTATGGTAAAACCCTAAGGGAATTTAAACTTTTAGGAATTTAACATGAGCCTTATGAGTTGATTGGTTGACTTTGTCCTAAAAAAATATGGTCCGATGATGACTCCAAACCGTTCCACTGCCACACCACACCAAACAGTAACTTTCATGGATTAAGTGATGTTTCATAAATCTCCATATGATTTTCAGCAGACTAGTGTTTGAAGTTTTGTCTGTTAATGTTTCCGGAAAGATGGAAATGAGCTTTATCAGACATAGCCTAATCAAAACATTTAAGATATGTCATTTTCAGTAGCCAGCTGCAACCGTGTCTGGCATGTCAAAACACGTAATTGAAAGTCTCTTTCATTCAATTTCTGTACCATAACAATTTTGTAAGGGTGAAAGTTTTGATCGAAATGTAAAATTCTACGTATAGAGGAGTTTGAAATCGCCAAGACCATAGATAGTCTACGAGAATGAATTGGACTTTGCAATCACTCGGCCGAACAGTTTCGATGTTTGCCGGTATACGAACTGGACGAGGCCGGCCACTTGGCTTGATCGTCATTGCAGAAACAGTGTTTCGAAAGTTAAAAACCCACTTCAAAATAGTGTTTCGAGGAGGAATAGCTTCATGGCGACCAACCTGAAACTGAACGCGAAACAATCGTTTAGTTAAAGAGACAGAGACTCGTTGTTTTAAAATAGTTTCATGATACAAAAGAACGATGTCATGCCAATCACTATTTGTCCATGTTTGTTTGTTTAACCAAACATAGCCTATGGCATAATATAAACAATCGTTCACTACAATAATGAGGTCTGTAGCTAGTATAACAGCTGACTTATTACAAAACAGGAAACGTCAGTTTTTTATTCCCCCTTTACGTGGGGAAATACATGCAAAAATATTAAACATTGATTGTTGAGTATACTAGCTTTAAAAATAGTTATTTGTGTAACTAGTGGTGAAAGTGGCACTTTGCTGCACACGAGAGCAATGTTTACGCACGAGCCGCAGGCGGAATGATCTCGAGTGCAGCAAAGGCCTTTTTCACTCGTGTTACACATTATATTTTTCCTACAGTCACTAAAAAGCATATAAATAATTAGTCTTTCAAACACTATACAACACGTTTTTAGGTTCAGCTGGCAACACAAATGGTGCCCTAGAGAAAGTAGTACCCGCGGTCCGTATCACTCCGCTATTTTTCCTCGGCAAGAAATGTGCTCCGCGTTTTGAGAATATAGTTCCGTATGTTTTTGTAATTTTAAGTGGTTTCAGCGCCTAAAAAAACGCTTTAAAGGTATTTTCTTGTTTATTAAGATCGTAGGAATGTTTTAAAAACGTTTAAAAGAAAAATCCAGAAAGTTCAGAAATACCGAAACTATAAACACGAAATGACAGGTTAAATCGTAGTTATAATAGTCAATCAGCTGCTCATAGTATTATTATCTTTAAGTGTTGCCAACCTATTTCCAAGCGTGCACGGATTACGTGCATAATAGAACCACGCTGTTTTGTGTTGTTTCGTTGGAATCCTGATGTGCGGCAAAGTATAAACCGTACGACAAAGTATAAACCGTACGGCAAAGTATAAATATGCAGCAATTAGCAGCTTTCTGTACTATAAACAGTACAAGGAAGCCAACTTTGTCGGGTGACTGTAGGAAAAAATATATATATAACCAATTAATAAGGCCTAAGATGTTGTTGCATGGAGAACATAAAAACGAGGTCATACCAAAAATACAACAAACTAGTTAAAAAGGAAATAACAATGCGTCCTTTGATTTATAGATAAGTTGCAATTTTGTTCCACAACTGGTTTGAGGGTTCATGATGAAAACTGTATATAAAGAAAATAGTTATTTGTGTAGGCCTAACTAGTGTGCTAATTGGCACTTGCACTCGCGTTACACATAATATTAAAACGTTTTTATTAGCTCGCTTTCTTTTCCGGTACAAATTTTGCAATCGATATTAAACTTCTTGAGCTAGAGAC